ACTGAGCTCCTCACCCTCTCTCTAAGGGAGCGCCCAGCCACCCTGCGGAGGAAACTCATTTCGAGCGCTTGTATCCGCGATCTCGTCCTTTCGGTCATTACCCAGAGCTCATGACCATAGGTGAGAGTAGGAACGAAGACTGACCGGTAAATCGAGAGCTTCGCCTTTCGGCTCAGCTCCCTCTTCACCACAACAGTTCGATACAGCGACCGCATCACTGCCGAAGCTGCACCGATCCACCTGTCAATCTCACGTTCTGTCCTTCCCTCACTCGTGAACAAGACCCTGAGATACTTCAACTCCTCCACTTGAGGCAGGGACTCTCCACCCACCCGGAGAGGGCAAGCCACCTTTTTCCGGCCGATAACCATGGCCTCGGACTTAGAAGAGCTGATCTTCATCCCAGCCGATTCACACTTGGCTGCAAACCGCCCCAGTGCACATTGCAGGTCCTGGTTTGATGAAGCCAACAGGACAACATCATCCGCAAACAGCAGAGATGAGATCCTGTGGTCCCCTAACCGGACCCCCTCCGGCCCCTGACTGCACCTAGAAATTCTGTCCATAAAAACAATGAACAGAACCGGTGACAAAGGGCAGCCCTGGCGGAGTCCAACATGCACCGGGAACAGGTCTCACTTACTGCCGGCAATGTGAACACAGCTCCTGCTCCGGTCATACAGGGACTGGACAGCCCTTAGCAAAGGGCCCCGGACCAGATACTCCCAGAGCACCCCCCACAGGACACCACGAGGGACACGGTCGAATGCCTTCTCCAAGTCCACAAAGCACATGTGGACTGGTTGTGCAAACTCCCATGAACCCTCGAGCACCCGATGGAGAGTGTAGAGCTGGTCCAGTGTTCCACGGCCAGGATGAAAACCACACAGCTCCTCCTGAATCCGAGGTTTGACTATCGGCCGGATTCTCCTCTCCAGTACCCTGGCATAGACCTTACCGGGAAGGCTGAGGAGTGTGATCCCCCTATAGTTGGAACACACCCTCCGGTCCCCCTTCTTATACAGAGGGACCACCACCCCGGTTTGCCAGTCCAGAGGTACTGTCCCCGACCGCCACACGATGTTGAAGAGGCGTGTCAGCCAAGACAACCCCACAAAATCCAGAGACTTAAGGTACTCAGGACGGATCTCATCCAATCCCGGAGCCTTGCCACCAAGGAGCTTGTCAACCACCTCAGTGACTTCAGCCCGGGTGATGGACGAGTCCGCCTCCGAGTCCCCAGCCTCGGCCTCCTCCTCGAAGGACGTGACGGTGGGATTGAGGAGATCCTCAAAGTATTCCTTCCACCGCCGGACAACGTCCCCAGTAGAGGTCAACAGCTCTCCCCCCGCACTGTAAACAGTGTTGGTGAAGAACTGCTTTCCCCTCCTGAGGCGCCTTACGATTTGCCAGAATCTCTTTGAGGCCGTCCGATAGTCCTCCTCCATGGCCTCCCCGAACTCCTCCCAGCTCTGAGTTTTTGCCTCTGCGACCACACGGGCTGCAGCACGCTTGGCCCGCCGGTACCCGTCAGCTGCTTCAGGAGTCCCCCGAGCCAGCAAGGCCTGATAGGACTCCTTCTTCAGCTTGACAGCATCCCCTTATTTGGGGATTGCCGCCGCAACAGGCACCACAGACCTTACACCCACAGCTCAGAGCAGCCGCATCGACAATAGAGGCCGAGAATGAAGCCCACTCGGACTCCATATCTCCAGCCTCCCCCGGAATCCAGGAGAAGTCCTTCCGGAGGTGCGAGTTGAAAGCCCCTCTGACAGAGGGCTCCGCCAGACGTTCCCAACAGACCCTCACTACACGCTTGGGCCTGCCAGGTCTTTCCGGCTTCCTCCTCCACCAGCGAACCCAACTCACAACCAGGTGGTGATCAGTTGACAGCTCAGCCCCTCTCTTCACCCGAGTGTCCAAGACACGCGGCCGGAGATCAGATGACACGACTACAAAGTTGATCATCGACCTCCGACCTAGGGTGTCCTGGTGCCACGTGCACTTATGGACACCCTTGTGCTCGAACATGGTGTTCGTTATGGACAAACCGTGACTAGCACAGAAGTCCAATAAAAAAACACCGCTCGGGTTCAGATCAGGGAGGCCGTTCCTCCCAATCACCCCTCTCCAACTGTCACTGTCGTTGCCCACGTGGGCGTTGAAGTCCCCCAGGAGAACAACGGAGTCCCCGGTCGGTGCACTGTCTAGTACCCCTCCCAAGGACCCCAAGAAGGCCGGGTACTCTGCACTGCTGTTCGGCCCGTAGGCCGACACCACAGTGAGAGACCTGTCCCCGACCAGAAGGCGCAGGGACGCGACCCTCTCGTTCACCGGGATGAACTCCAACACACAGCGACTGAGCTGTGGGGCAATGAGCCCACACCAGCCCACCGCCGCTCCCCGCAGCCAACGCCTGAGAAATGGAGAGTCCAGCCCCTCTCAAGGAGTTGGGTTCCAGAGCCCAAACTGTGCGTGGAGGTGAGGCCGACTATATCTAGTCGGTAACGCTCAACCTCCCGCACAAGCTCAGGCTCCTTCCCCCCCAGCGAGGTGACATTCCATGTCCCGAGAGCTAGTGTCCATGTCCGGAGATCCGGTCGTCGAGGCCCCCGCCGTCAACTGCCGCCCAGATCTCTCTGCACCGGCCCCATATGGCTCCTCCCGCGGGTGGTGGGCCCACGTGAGGACGGCCCCACGTCGCTCCTTCGGGCTGAGCCCGGCCGGGCCCCGTGGGGGAAGGCCCGGCCACCAGGCGCTTGCTGGCAAGCACCAACCCCAGGCCTGGCTCCAGGGTGGGGCCCCAGTGAGGCCAATCTGGGCGACGTAACTGGCCTCATTGGTACACTTGTCATATAGGGTTTCGTCATATAGGTGACCTTACCACGGGCATGAAGCCCCCGACAACATAGCTCCCAGGATCATTCGGGCACTCAAACCCCTCCACCACGATAAAGTGACGGTTCAAGGAGGGGACACTGAACCGTATTGAATCAATTTGAAATATATTGTATTGAATCATAAGCTCACTGTATTGAGATTCGTATCGTATCGTGGCCTGTGTATTGAGGTATGTATCTTATTGGCAACTTGTTAATGATACCCAGCCCTAATAAATACTCAGAGCTCAGTGGCTCTGGGGGGAGATGGAGAGAAGAGGTGAGTTGGACAGAGGGGGTGTGCCTTATCAGGTTTTTATTATAGATCCATGGCTCTGACAGGAAAGTCCAGCTGGTTGTGTTAGAGGTTTGTGCATGCACACTGAAGACCACAGCCGGCTGAAACAGTGCTGAATAAAACCAAGATGTGTGGCAATTCCCCTTGAGCGCGCATGTGCGGCAGGAGACGACAACAGCAGTGCAACACAAGTTTCAACAATAATGTCTAAAGGTAAATTGCTTTAACAACAAGTGATTGTTTGTAGCTTTGTGTTTGTAATGATTAGATGTTAGAAATACATTCCATCATTTAATGACACAGTGAATGAGTTTCAGGGCGAGTTTGTGTGAAATGGAGGACACGGACGGAGCAGTGGAGTGAACGGCTGGGTCAGTGAGGATTCCTCCTCGTCTGTGTGTTGATGAAGGATCAACAGTGTCAGTGGAATAACAGCACTATTACACACATGTGGAGGAACATGTGTGTGCTCTGGACCTGCACATCAGGCTGTAGGACTTGTGTTATACTGTGTTATACATATGTTATACATAAGGTTGTGTTATACATATGGTTGTGTTATACATAAGGTTGTGTTATAAATGCACCTGTGTGACCAGTGCACTGTTGTTGTTTGTATCTCTTCATGATCTTCATGATGTACATGTTGTGTGGTGCATTACACATGTGTACACTGTCATATGTCATTCATATGGTTTCTAGATGCATAATATAGGTCTCCATAAACAGTTGATAGTCAAGGTCAGTTAAATGCAATCAATTCAATCATTGTGTCCTTAGGCAAGACACTTCACCCACATTGCCTTGTATGAAGGTGGTGTGTGTGTGAGTGATGGTGGTGGTCGGAGGGACCGATGGCGCTGAGTGGCATGGCAGCCGCGCCTCTGTCAGTGTGCCCCAGGGCAGCTGTGGCTACAATAGTAGCTTACCATCACCAGGTATAGAGTGAATGAATAATGCTGAATGAATAGTGCTGAATAATGCTCTGTAAAGCGTCTTTGGGGACAGAAAATGTCTGTGAAAGCGCTATATAAATAAAGACTTACTTACTTACTTACTTACTTACTTATAATAATAATAATTACATAGACAATAGAACTGAAGACTCAGCTGGATAAACAAGGTGTAGGAACAGGACAAATGTCTGAATGATGCATGTATGTATGTTTGTATGTGTGTATGTATGTATGTATGTATGTATGTATCAAATCAAATCAAACTTTATTTATAAAGCACTTTTCATACAAAAATGTAACACAAAGTGCTTTACAGAGATTAAAAACAATCCCACATTTCCACCCACCAACCCAACCCCCACACCTGCCCGACTCAACACAACCAAACAACACAAACACACACACACACACACGTACACACGCACACACGCACTCATGCTAAAATACATCAAACTACACATAGTAAAATGTATGTTTGTGATGCATGTATGTATATTTGCATGTATGTATGTATGTATGCATGCATGCATGTATGCATGTATGTATGTATGTATGTATGCATGTATGCATAAAGAGTGGTGTTATTAAATTGTTATCAGCTAAATATTAATGTCCACTCCCAGTCTGCTTTGACTATCCATAAAAGTCACCACACATTACTGATTCTGTTTGACCAGTCGTAAAGCCAGCGTGGCCACTGCAGCTTCTTGGTGTCTGCAGAATGTTCTGACCACCACAAACACAGCTGACAGGAACTGAAACTAATTGAAACTAAAAACTGCTTCTGAAACTCTCCACAGAACTCTGTGTATAAAGTTTCCAATAAGATAACCTCTTGTCTTCATGATCTAAGGTCAGTGGTTTTGTTGTGGTTTCACAGATCTTTATAAGACGTGCAGGCTGAGAGGAGAGACACCAGCCCTGGACTCTGCTCCAGAAACATCTGTCACCTGACACACAACCTGAGCTTCAGACCCATCAGACCCATTGGACCCATCAGACCCAGGACCCACCTGAACATCTCAACCTGAGTAAGACTCTACATCCACACACACTTTATCTGTGTGTCTACAGGAGACACAGGGGCCTATTCATACTTTGCAACAGCATCAAGATGGTGGGGGGTTTATTAAGGAAAAAATACAAAATAGATTTAAACATTTTCTGGAGCTCTGTTAAGGAGTTTGATATTTAACTAAAAGATGAGAGTGACTAACTGAGAACTGACTAACTGAAGAACTGCTGTCTAATGCTAATTTTATGATTTTATTTGAGAGGAACTTGTTCAACAGCACAGATCAGCTCACCTGTTCTAGTTCCAACTAACTCAGATCTTTCTGGTCAGATTGTGTTAAAACAAAGATCAGATTCAATTCTAACTTGAGAAACAGAACTTCAGACAGAGCAGTGCCTACAGTTAGCATCACACCTCCACAGAATCTTGATGGCATCAGCTGCAAAGTATCAATAGGAAATAAGACAGCCTCTACAGGAGACACAGGAGTGTTTGTGCCATAACCTGTGGTAAATGTGTTTGTTTGTGCCTTTCTCTTCACAGACATGCAGCTCCTGTTTGCTCTGCTCCTGTCGGCTCAGCTCCTGTCGCCTCAGCTCCTGTCGGCTGAGCTCCTGTCAGCTGAGCTCCTGCCGGCCCTGTCAGAGCCTAAAAAATGCCCCGTTCCAGGGTACGAGAAGTTTCTGCTCAAGCATACTTATGACAAACGCACTGAAGTGGACTGTACTGACTTTATGAAAGACCTCCTGCCAAAAATTAATCAGAAACAGTGTAAACCCTGTAACACCATCATAACTGGAAATCGGAAAAACAGAAAAACAAACATCAGAGCAGTGCTGGACGTCTGCAAAGGCAAAGGGTTCAAGGCCCCAGTCAACTGCACGAGCTCCACAAAGTTCCATGTAGTTAAATGTGTTGCCAAGAACCCTGATGCACCTCTCCCCTGTGATTACTCAGAAAAACCAATCACAGGCTACATCACCATCACGTGTGAGAATGGATGTCCCGTGCATTTTGTTTCCACAGAGCGTCACGCTAAACCTAATCAAATATACTGATGATTAAAGGTCCTATATTACATTTTACATTCACTCTTGTGAGCTTTAAGCCGTGTTAGAATGTTTTTGCCTCCTCAAAAACAAACCCAGAGTTGTGTTTGTGTGTGAATGAAACACGACTTCAGGGATGTTTGTGCAGAGGAAAAAACATTATAACATAAATCAGAAAATAGCGTAACATGGTCCCTTTAATGAATGATCTAGAACTACGTCTTTTTGTTCAAGGACGTAGCACAAAACTCTGCTCTGGTCACAGATCATCTTGGTTTAACCTGCACTATATATTCAGTTTATGAACGTTGCTTTTAATAAACATGTGCTCCTCTGCTTTTGTAACTTGTACCTTTAATGACACAAATAAAGCATTCATCAGAAAAAATAAAACAATGTTGTTGCTTTTCTTACAGGCAGAGGTGTGACTTTTAACAGACACTTTGGGATAAGTGATGCTATAACACAGTGCTTCATATCCGTGACCTTTAGGGCTGATCTGTATATGAGATCAGGGGGCTGCAGGAGCCTGACACAAACAAACCACTGCAGTTTCCTTCAGCCACTGCAGCCTGGTAAATGGTCAATGGTCACATTTTTCTATAGCGCTTTTCCACCTTCAAGGCACTCAAAGCGCTTTACAACAAGGAACCACTCACCCATTCACACACACATTCATACACCAGTGTACGCAGACACTGTGGGCAAGGTGGGTTAAGTGTCTTGCCCAAGGACACAACGGCAGCATTCATCTGTGGGAGCTGGAATCACACCAGCCAACCTGTGGGTCAGTGGATCTGACCACTCAACCTGTGATGTTTATGTCGAGAGCTGGATTTGAACTGCCAACCTTCAGATCAGTGGGCGAATGCTCTACCAACTGAGCTACTGCCGCCCAAGAGTAGAAGAGCCTGGTGGTGAAGAGTAGAACTGCACATGCTCTAGAACAGTTCAACAGCAGCAGAGCTCTGAAAATATTATCAGCCTGTCTGTTACAAATGACCAGACAAAGAACGAGATGAATCATGATTGTCAACTTGTCAAGAGGTTTAGGCTCAGTAGAGAAATATTCAACCTTTTCATAGGATGCAAATGGGAAGCAGATACACAAGAACCCACTAAAAGTTGAATTTAATGCTTATACACACATCAGGCTGTAGGACGGCTGTGTTATACATAAGGCTGTGTTATACATAAGTTTGTGTTATACATAAGGTTGTGTGATACATAAGGTTGTGTTATAAATGCACCTGTGTGACCAGTGCACTGTTGTTGTTTGTATCTTCATGATCTTCATGTACATGTTGTGTGGTGAATTATATAACAGACTCAGGTTCTGGGCCTGTTGGGCAGATTAAATGTTTCCTGTAAAACACAAGGAAAGAATGAGACATGCAACCGTGAAGTTTCTCTTTGCCTCGCTTCTGCCATATTTATTTATACAATCATGTATTTTTCATTTCAATATTCAGCTTTTACCACTGTTCTTAGTTTACAATTTACAATCATGTAATAAAATCTCATCAAACACATCAAAATTATGTTTTAAGATCACGTACAGCAAACATTTCCATTTAGCATTTCTGTTCACATTAACATTGTTTACACATTACTATTTAATTCTTAGATTGTAACCAAAATACACTTATCAATTTCTACAACCACAGCTGGTCTGCTTTTAACATACTGTTTCTAATATATAACCGCCATCTCCTCGTGAATATCTGGGTTTCACGTGACATCACAGGGCTACGTTTGTCAGCACGCAAAATCAGATGGAGGGCAGGAAGTGAACTGACTGGAGGAAAATGCCGATGTGTTGTGTAGTTTACGGCTGTGCCAATTGTTCTAACCAAGAGAAGGAAAAGTGATTTTTTTAGAGTACCGAATATAGTCGTCCACAAAGGTCAGAAATGGGAAAAGTTGACAGAACAACGCCGTAAAAAGTGGATTACAAACCTGTTTGCAGTCGGGAGGAGCAGAATCCGCAAATGCTCGTGTCTGCAGTGAACACTTCAACAAAGGTATTTTACAAAGATAAATTGTTTTTTGTGGTTTACCTAAACATAAACAAATCATTAACAACTAAAGGCTAACAATGTTTGTTGACATTAAATAGTTCAGATAGAGGCTATTGCCGATACACTGCAGTTTTTCCCATAACGTCTATACACATAAAATAAGAGAAACACTCACCCCAGCGAAGACCAAACCGTAATCATCATTTAGGCGTTTTGCACCAAGGTTGAGGACCCATCCACTGACAAAAAAAGTTCTATGCCTCCAAACTTTTGTACATCTTCATCTGTTGTCTGGTGTAGAACGATGTCTGAAGAGCTAAATAGTTTGTGATCTCCTCTGCCTCGATTGTTGGCAAATCTTTTACTTCGGTTGAAAATTCTCTCATTTTCAATAAAGTCAGGGTCACGCCCAATATATTTGTCGACTAACTGCTCGTACTTTTGCCTTGCTACTGGCTCTAAATCCTGACAATAAGAACTCTTCTCCATATCTGTGTTCTCCATAGCCGTATTTGTCGTGTTTGTCTTCACTTCCTGCCCTCCACTTGAAATTCGCGCATCATCGTGATCACGTGACTGAAACCCTCCTATCGCAGGGTAGTAACCGTGTACTACTGACTGGATTTTAGCTTCAGCTTGAGCCCCTTTTAAGTTTTACTTCTGAACCTATGAACATTAGATTTACTCTTTTACAATTAAAACAATGTCGGAGCATTTTAACACATTCTCAGTTAGAAAAACGAGCTTAAAATAAATGTGCAATAAACTCAGAATGGCGCCCGTAGCTTCGCCTTGACCTGTCTTTTCACATCTTTTTACATGGCTTAAACTTGACAAAAACACAGTATTTAGCAACTGATGTATATTCTCACAGCTAGCTGTGTTCGTTGCTTATTGTTTATGACCAATATAATGTGGTTTTTACTTCGATACTGACCTGTAAAACACAGGGAAAGAATGAGACAGGCAACCATGAAGTTTCTCTTTGCCTCTCTTCTGCCATATTGGAGAGGAGGACCTCTGACCTCACAATACCACCTCAAGAGGCTCTGGCAGCAGACACATGGGGAAAGTGGAGCTCCACTCTAGACCGGAAACACGTGACCTCCACCGAAGATGTCATCTCTACTTTTATGTAGACCTATGGGGCGACGAAACAATTTATTTTGACCACAAATAAATGTTTATTAAATAAGATTGTTTTTACGTTATGGAATTTGTTCCCACATATAAACACGGAGCAAAACGACCATCTGGAAGACGGAGAAAACATGTGAGTAACACGCTTTTAACTTTAGGAAATCACTAACACAACTGTAAATGTAAAATACAGCCATAACTCCCACAAAACTGTCAAATAAGTTTATTTTAACTGCGTGAACCTCGGAGATTTGAGTTAAAAGTTTGATTAGTAATCTGCAGCTAACACGATGAAAAGTTGTTTGATATTCATGTTCTTTTCTCATCTGCAGCTTCCTGTATGAGAACACAACACACTGCTGGGGCCACAGAACAGTTGGCTGATGAGACGCTCATGATTCATGAAATGGGTCAAATGCAGATGACAAAGTAAAGCCAACACTGAGCAGGAGGTGCTGACCCAGACTTCTGCCTCTGTTTAGGTCTGGGACATGTTACATTGAAAACTCCAATAATAATAAGAGCTGCAAATGAATCATGCTCATGTTGAAATCATTATTTAATTTGTGAAAATACACATTTCTCAAATGTGTGGGATTTAGCTGTTTAGATTTATATAAACTGCCTTTGGATGTGAATGTACATGCCCTGTGAACCTCATTTTCCTCTAATAGTTTTGTAGTTTTCTGAATGTATGTGTCATTACAGGTTTTCACTCTGCAGGACAGAACTTTCAACCAGTCAGACGTAACAACCATTCTGCTCTTCCTCCTCCAGAAGACGAGAGATACATCAGACTGAATGATCCAAGTACACAGGGTCATGTCTCCACTGTCCATGTCCAGACTCACAGAGGAGGAGGAGGAGGAGGTCCAGACTGCAGCAGACCTGTGGGGCCTCTGGTTGCATCAGGCCTCCCTCCTGCACATTCTGTCTGCTGCTGTTCCTCATGTGTGCTAATAGTGATGTGTCCATAAAGATTAGGTTTAACTTCTACTTTCCTGCAGAAGTGAAACAGTAAAATGGTGGTTTCTGTTCATCTTAGCTGAGGAGCACCTAAACATCTTTACCATGAATAAATGTGGCCCATGATAAATGTGGGTGTAATTACAGGTTAAATAATGTTATTACTCAAATTGCTAATTTGGAGTAAGTAATAACTTATTATGAATACATACAAAAATAAAACATAATGTTAAAACACATTACTATGTGTCACAATTACACATGTGTACACGGTCATATGTCACATATGTTCACATGGTTTCTAGATGCATAATAATAATAATTACATAGACAATAGAACTGAAGACTCAGCTGGATAAACAAAGTGTAGGAACAGGACAAATGTCTGAATGATGCATGTATGTATGTATGCATTTATGCATGTATGTATGTATGTGTATGTATGTTTGCATGTATGTAAAGGTAAAGGCTGTTCTAAAAATCTAAAATAAGTTTTAAATTCATTAGAGTGTATTTTTGTTTAGCACATTCACTCTGTGAAGCTCCTGTATTGTGGGATTCTCTGATGATGTTTTGTGTCCTCTGCTACACTCGGGGTTTACTATGTGACTTTTCTAACTCTGCTCTAAACCTGTTTAAACCTGTTTAATGAAACAAGAAACTTTGAATCGTCTGTTTCACACGAGAGTAACCCTGATTGAACTCTTAACCCTGGAGAACCCAAGAACCCTTTTTTTCTTTGGAAAATTATGAACTATGCATTAAATGATTGCTATAAGTTCACTGAACACCAAAATATCAACTTTTTCCATTTTAACCCTTTATTCCCTAATTTAGGATTTGGGCCAATTCTGACCCATTGGGATTTAGGCGTATCATTTCAAAGAATCACAGTAACTATCAATGCAAACTATTTTAAATTTAGGAAAATAATCAGTCAACCACACAGCTACATTTAACAATGCTTTTTTTGCTTTATTTTTTGCATGTTAGAACTGCATTTCAAATATACAAACATACTTTGGCCAACCGAAACAAGAATACTAGGCCACAGAGAGAGAGGAAATAAAACTAGAGAGAGGAAATAAAACTAGACAGTGTTGTAGCCTTTTCTTTTTTGCTGATGCAGAGAAAAACACACTTTGGCCAACCAAAAAAAGAACAAAAGGCTAAAATCACGACTGATAAAAAATGACACTAACAACACAGCACATTGATGGTGATTTTCCTCCTTGACGGGCCATTGGGTGATTTGGTTAAAACAAACACCTGCACTCTGATAAACTCAAACAAATCTTGGTGGTGTCGGAAAGGAGGGGCCAGGAGTTGGTGGTCTACCCCGTTGTCTTGCTGTTCCAACATCAATCAGGCCTTGAGCAACCAAACCCTGAAACTTGCGAAGTTTGAGTACTTTTGATCTTGTGATTCCCTGTGCCTCACAGTCACGCTGGTAAAGAAGCCATGCGTTGATCACTGCAACAGACAAGAAATGCCAGAAAAGTATCATATACCAACGACGGGTCCTAATGGGAAATTTACAGCGTGCAAGATGTGCATCCAGCATGTTAACTCCTCCCATGGAAGCGTTGTATTCCTTGATGATGTTCGGCTGATCAATGTTGGTGTACTCTTTTTTGGACTTGTCCCAGCTCCAAGCTTTTCCCAAAGGCTCTGGTCCAGCATACGTTGACATCAAACTGACTGCTTTCATGTCTTGCCATTTCAAACAAACAGTGTTGGTGTTGGACTCGATTCGGTAATCATAGGATCCACGGCCTTTCTTGGAGAGGTCTTTGTCCGTTATCAGGTTACACTTAGACATACGTTTTTTTCACACAGTTCCTGTGTAGTAGATTCCCTTTGCCAATAATTTCTCTATGAGGGGCATTGAAGTGAAGAAATTGTCAGCAAAAATCAGCGATGTACTTTCTCTAGAAGCGATTCGCATAGATTCCGCACAATGTCTGATACGACTCAACCTGTTCACCTTGAAAGCTCACATCAAGCAATTCAAAGTGTTTCTTTTGCCACCTGTAAGTTTTTGTGGCATGATTTGGCTCCATCTGTGGGCTAGCAGTTGGTAGCAATGCTGTTGAAACAATTCATCGGAATCGCTATTGCTGTCCAATTCAGGGCCAAAGTCACTGTTGTCAAGTTGCTCTAATACTTGTTTTACAGTGAACTTTCTCTTTTCGTTTCTCTGTACTGAAAAGGGAGCGGCCATATTCCCTGAAAAAATAATAGATATTTACTTATTAGATATTAGTCTCTGGCCCTGTACTACCTGGTAACTTAGTCAAATCTATCCACAGACACTTGGTATTGAATGAAATCAATCAACAGAATCCAGACCCTTTATATAGTCATGTGTTTACATGACACTATAGGCCTCTATATATACAGTAGCCAATACACTATTTATACTATTTATATATACTATTATACTATTTATACTCTCTCTCTCTCTCTCTCTCTCTCTCTCTCTCTCTCTCTCTCTCTCTCTCTCTCTCTCTAGAGCAGCACATGATAGAAGACTGCAGCCTTTTGGTGAAGAGTAGAACTGCACATGCTCTAGAACAGTTCAACAGCAGCAGAGCTCTGAAAATATCATCAGCCTGTCTGTTACAAATGACCAGACAAAGAACGAGATGAATCATGATTGTCAACTTGTCAAGAGGTTTAGGCTCAGTAGAGGGTAGAGGGTAGGGTTCAGGCTTAGTGCTTATCCTTAGATCATCATCATCATCATCATTATTATTATTATTATTATTATTATTATTATTATTATTATTATTATTATTATTACATCACTGTTGTAGCACTAAATAGGCCTACATTTTAAGCCATTTTTACTTTTGCATGATTTTGAAAAAAAAAGTATTTTTTAGACTATAAGTCGCCGTTTTTTCATGTTTATATATATATATATATATATATATATATATATATATATATATATATATATATATATATATATATATAGGTGTTCAGACAGTTGTGTCAACTCAGCTGACAGAGTGTTTGACAGATGACGTGTTGTTTAGAACCACATGGAAAGCTTCAGTCATGTGATCAGTCTTCACTGTCAAGTTACTGTACTATTTTAGAATTATTTTAGGTTAATTTTCAAAATATTTTTTTAAAATTCAAAAACACTTCAACAGATCACTTTGAACATCTTTTTTTATTATACTTTGTTATTAACTATGTTTAGGTTTGATACAGTTTGACCAAACGGATTATGAATCTGCGTTTTCAATAGTTTATGAAGTACTTTAATCTTTTATTTTGTAGTACCACACCGGAACTTGGCATTCATCTCGCCGCGACTAGACATTCCGGGGCTCCGCAGCTACCGCCAGGGGATGCGGGCTGTAGCCGGGCGAGAGAGCACCGTGTCCGGTTAGTTTGGCTCCGCTTATGGCCGCAGTTTGGCTCCGGTTCGCGTGGACGCTGCTGACGGTCTGTGTCCGGCTTCACGCGTCAGAAAACCCGCGGTGAGTTTCCAGAACCTTCGGAGCTAAAGGTGGCTAAAGGCTAACGGCTTTACCTGGAAATTTCACACAACACGACATGGTACTCAAGTAAAGTACTCCTTCTGTACACGCGCACTTCTGTACTCAAGTACTCCATCTGTACACGCACACTTGTGTACTCAAGTAAAGTACTCCATCTGTGCACGCGCACTTGTGTACTCAAGTAAAGTACTCCTTCTGTACACGCGCACTTCTGTACTCAAGTACTCCATCTGTACACGCACACTTGTGTACTCAAGTAAAGTACTCCATCTGTGCACACGCACTTGTGTACTCAAGTAGTGCTACTTTCAAGTGAATTCTGTGAAAAAACACCACAGCAGTTTGTGTTTAACTATTATTACTGCTTAACTGGCTCAAAGTGTTCAAAGGTGAGTGAACTCACAGTGACTCTGGCAGAGGTTGTACTCATATTTACTCACTTCCATTTACTTGAGTAAGTTTTTTATTGAAGTAACCGTATTCTTACTTGAGTAAAAGTTGTGCTTCGTCTTCCCTCTGTGAGAGGGTGAGCAGACGTCCCTCTTTACCCTGGACAGTCCCAGCAGATTTATACAAAACCACTGATTTGTCCCAGTTTATACAAGAAATGTCCCAGGTGTCCCTATTTTTAATCAGTCTGATCCTGCCAACAGTAAAGAGAGACATACACTGACATTTGTTTTGATAAAATACAGAAAAGCTGCTTAAAAACGACCAGAACACAAAGAAAATATGACTATACTCACTCACATTAGTGCTGAGTGCAGAACAATTTTACTTAAATACACACAAGTTTCACAATTTTATTATCACCAACCAACCCAAACCAGGGATGTCCTAGTATTTTTTATTTATTTTTTTGGTTACCCTAAGTAACAGTACTCTTGCTTGAGTAAAAGTAGTGCTTCGTCTTCCCACTGTGAGTGAGTCTAAAGTGATAAAAGCTTTAAAGTGACAATCTGAAATGATTTGAATAGTTGTGTTTTCTCACAGCTCCTTCAGTCTCATTTTTGTGTCTGTTCTTTGAAAACACCAGATTTTGTAACTTATTTAAAGTTCTGTCCTTCAAATTAAACTCACTTTAAATTCTAAATCACTGCACTTTGGGCTTTGGACTTCCATTTGAGTAATATTGTTTTGAACTTTGTAACATTACTTTTACTTGAGTCCAATTTTTTAGCAAATCTACCACCTCTGCCTGAAAAAGACTTATGATGACTCTTTTTTTTCTTTTTTTTTTCTTAAAGCTTTAGAATTTACATATTACATTTTATGTTACATTTTCTTGACTAATGTAAGCAGTGTGTAAAACATTCCACAGGCTTGAAATTTTTAGACTTTACTTTACTTAGACTTAGACAAACTTTATTGATGATGACAAAATGATTTGGACACAGTAGCTCACACATCACAATATATTATAATAACAAAGAGAAAAAATATAAATGGTAATAATAAATTCTAAATGAGCAGCAAAAAGATAACAAGATAGACATAATTCCCAGGTGGGGGGCCAGAGCCAGTTTTGTCCTATTGTTTATATTGTACTTTCAGAACAAATTTTGACCTTGATCATTTTTATTAGTGACTAGACCCATAACCCACTGTACTACTACAAAAAATGTAATTTAATAATAATAATAATTGTATCTGCCCCATCTGTATTAAATATTGTTGACCTATAGAATGTTGTGATGTCATCTGTAACCCTGCAATAAATGTATGTGTAGTTAAAGTTAAATTTAAAAAAATAATAATAATACAAGAGATCATAAGGAAAACAGTGCCAAAATGATGTGATGATTGACAGGACAAAGGGTTATAGGGTTTGGAGCCAAACTTATGTCAAATAAGTGTTTTTTAATCAAGAGTGAAAGCTCATAATAAAACATACATATTCATTTTATTGGTGTTTGTGCATTTGGTGATTTAGTTTTAGAAAACATTTCCAAACTTCTGCTTTTATTTGGTTTTATTTTGAGAAAAACTTTGCAGATATTATGTCTGTCTATTGTATTTCATATTTATACTGGAATAGATTATGGTGGATGGACAAGTGCTTAGGGCTGTAGGATTGTAGTTGACTAAAACATGCTGCTTTTATGAATTAGTTATAAGTAGGGGTGAGATGAAGCAGAATTTTCATGAGACGAGACACGAGATAGGGTCCTCGAGATCGAGACGAGATGAGATTTAGAAATTAACCTAAACAATTCATAATTTTGGTCACATATTTTTATACATTGTGTTATTAATGTACGTAATGTGTTGATATAGTTCATTTACTTCATTTTTATGTCCACAGGTGAATTAAATGTGCATATATTTGATCATAGTATTTCACAGGGATGTAACAATAACCAAAATATTGTGATATCGTATCATCAAAAGTCTCACGATAACATTGTGGACTGTCACAATATATCAGATCACAAGTGTCTTTGCTTAAATGCAGGTTTTATTGTAGCAACAGCTTATAAACATAGGAAACTACATATCCCATGATTCATTTCAGTACAGACAACATGAAGTGATATGTTTTTACTTGAATTCTTGGAATTATAATAATAATATGGTAATAATTCACACCAAAATCTTGTCAAGGTATTTTAAACACAATAAAGAGTCCCATTTTTAATCACATTAGCTTCTTCAAAATATTGCAAATATCGTACTGTGAGATGCATATTGTGATAATGTTGTACCATGAGATTTGGATAGCTTTACATCCCAAGTATTTCTACAAACTACAAAATGAAACTGGGACAGAGTTTAAAGTGTTCTCTGTCTGATTATGTGAGCTACACCCAACTTTCCAGAGCTTGAGCGAGGCAGGACCCTTTCATGCCCATGCCAAAAGACGGAGGATTAAATTTCGCAAGATCATTTTTCTTATGTTCTTATGTGTCATAGCAATTTGATCTCGTCCCATCACTAGTTGTAAGCTCTTGATACCGTTTAGTATGAGTGTTCTGACCATGCTTCTGACTCAAACGGCATTTTCAAGACACAGTAATAATCATGCATGTTTTATGTAAATATATCATTAATATACCAGGCTGATATTTGCACTTAAAATGGCCTTAAATCTCCAGCAGAGGCACATTTTTGGATTTGGCCAACCTGTTGCCTAAAGACTACACACATGTATTTCTGTATAATGTTTTATCTTCCTCTCTTCTCCACAGACCCGGCTTGGACCTCCTCCTCCCGTACTCTCACGGTCACGGCCCCTCCCACTCCCACCGTCACATCAGAGACTGTCAGCCTGTGGTCCATGGGAACAGCACCAATGAGACGTGGAGGGGTGACTCTACTGAGGGAGAGGAGGCTCAGTCCACTGTGTTTGTGACCAATGTGAAGGGCGCGACCGCTCCACGCTGGGTCTACGGTCAGTCACCAGAACATTATTATGGATGTGTTATGTATTAGAACTACTAGATTCACCTTCTTCCATTTTAAAGACTAAAAAAGCATCTTTGTCTGGGGTCTTGATCACTAATTGCTCTAGGCCAGGGGTCTCAAACTCAAATTACCTGGGGGCCACATTAGATAAAGTCTGAGTGAGGCTGGGCTGCATTGAGTATTCGATAAAAAGCGGTTGCACGGGAAATGAAGAGAGAAAGAACAACACGCAACACACTTTCTTAATCTTTAATAACAGTTCAGAACATGAAAATGTATTTAGAACTTACGTTTAAACTAATACATCTACTCTTCTTCTTTTGCCTACTTCTTTCTGGTTGAAACCTGGCTACACTTCATCTTGCACAGCTGAGAGATGTTTGGCTTGCAGGAGGAAGCACATGAGATCCTCAGGATAGATTGAAGATGCTCATCAGTGAGCCTTGACCTGTAGTTTGATGGTGCTTTCACACACTTTCACACTGGTGTGAACGCGAACCCGGGTCCAAACCATAGACAGCAGGTCCAAACGAACTATTCGAAATGCATCATGGGGGAAACGCGTCTCCTTTGCCTGAAATGACGCGCTGTACGACTCCAGCGCAGTAACAGATTGTTGTCCAGATGCAGTCGCGATTCATTTTTGAATTATTTTACCAACAATGGCCAATACAGAGAATGTAATACACGAAGATCAGAGCAAGAACGTGCGAACGTGTGGCTCCAGAGTGAGTCAAAGTTGGGGTTGTGTACTTCTGTTCAGGACCTGCACAGAGGTCCCGGTGTTCCCCGTGATCATGTAGGAACCAGCATTTTTTATTTTAGGCTTTAATTAACTAAATAATTTTATGGCAATAGGCAATCGCCCATTCAATTGATTCACCTTTAAAAAATGTCCTGCTTTTAGCCTAGTGTGAGAAATACAGTCGGACTAGATCCAAACCAGAGCCCCGAAGATGCAGCTCCGGTTCAGGCCGGGCTCAGATGACGTGGAGCGGGGAGTAAAAAGCGCTTTCCCCGGGAAGAACCAAATGCGCGGAGGGCGGACACCAGCTAAACTGGATTCACGCTTCTGTCCGGATGCTTTGCACCACCTCGGAACCAGCCGCGGTTCTTGAGCGCGGAGGAGCGCTGTTGGCTGCTGCTGTTACCCGAACTCTGGGCTGATGCGGTGAGTTTGTACAAAGTTCTACGTTGCTGTTTTATGAGTTCATGGTGATAAGATGAGGACGACCCGTGGTATTAACAGGGAACATCAGTGTTGGTTACTGGAGGTATCGTTGTCCTACCGGGATACAGAGGCTCGTTAATCGGACCAGTTTTGGTTCGTTTGCCGGTGTGAAAGCGCCACACTGGAGTGTATCTGCTTCTCGTATGTCAAACATGGATGGAAGATGCTTATTTTTGCCTCGTACTTTTTGCTAACATGTCGCCAAGCCTCTGGAATAGATCACTGCAGTTTTGTGGTGCTTGCATATTGATGGGACAGCTGTGTTTGCCGCTGAGTGCGCGTGGATTTCGGCGACGCACAGGTGGAGCTTGGTCATCGAGTTGCCAGCAAGTTACGCACCGAGTGTTGAGCAGGTAAACAGACTGTCAAAGTTTTTTTATTTCTTATTAGCCCCTCCAATAATGGTCCCATACTTATGAACAGGGGGATTCTGTCAGCGTCTCCTCTGCGCTCTGATGCTGTGGTTGTGGGAGCGTAAAGTGAAGTGCGCACACGTGTACCACCATGTGTGGTTTGTTTTGGTTCTTCGGTGACGCCGTCTGTGCACATGTACTCGTATTAACAGATCCACTTAGACTCGTTGCTTCACAACTGCTGTAAATTGAGTTTTGGGATGTAAACTGCGTTAATAATCTGTTGTTTTGAATCTGCATGGGCACCGATTGCAGCTTCATCTGTCAGTGCGGCCCGCGGTAGAGGGGTGGGATTGTGCGTACATCTACCACGGGCCGCACTGACATTATTCTTTGGAATTAAGTGGCGGGCCGCAAAAAATCCTTCCGAGGGCCGCAGTTGGCCCCCGGGCCGCGAGTCTGAGACCCCTGCTCTAGGCAAATAACATGTTGGGGGCAAACTAAAGTGGATATGTAGAATAAAGAAACTGGAGCCTGCATTCTCACTATTTAAAAATGAAGGCAATCACAACTGAACCTGTGTCTCCAGAGCCTGCACCTGCAGACAGAGACACATCCAAGTCTCATTCTCAGTTTATGGACAGACCAGGCCTCAAGTGAAAGCTCAAAACCTCCAGAATTCCCTCCCTGAGCTGCAGAGGCTGCACTAGCACTGACTCATGACTGGTGCAGGTGCTGAGGTTTAGGGAGAGACCATTCAGATGAGAGAGAGACATTTTAGGTTTTAGGGCGTTTTCACTCCGCTAGTTTGATTATTTGGTCCACACCAGGCAATAAAATTGTTATCAGTGTGTCTGCTTTCACACATGCAAACCATCCAAGACTTCAGAGCCTTGGATGTACACAGCCTTGGAAGTGAGGCCGAGATGCACGTCTCGTCCAGTGACCTTCCCATGGAGCCCCTCCGCGGGGTACAGATGGTGAGGGTCGGTCCCTATCCTCCCCAAGCGGAAGCCAACCTCCAGACTCGCAAACCTACCGGCCGCCAGCCGCAGGGCAGGCGTCTGGACCCGTCACACCCCATTAACCGGGGCGCGCTCAATTGGAATAGCTGGTTTGGACTTACTGTCTCTGGTTTGGACCCGTGTTTGCATTCTCATCAGAGGAAC